CCACTGCTGGTCGGCACACGGTTAAATACCACATCGAAGTGAACGGGAATTCATTATTTCGCAACGGATTGTCACGGATAATCGAACGATGCAACAATCGGATTCCGTTTTGGTCCGCTCGTCTCTACTCGGTACTAAAATGCGAATTTGAAATATTTAAAATATTTTCAACGCCGCACCGTGTTCCACTTTGCGCTGAGTGAAGTTTAAGTCGAATGGGAATTCGATTGAATCCACGTGATAATAATAGTACTTCAACAAAATGTTATTGAGCAGTATTTGTTTTTATTGTGTGAAAAAAACAAACCTTACATTTACAACGGTTTTAAGTTTATTGAAATTTATGCCTCCCTCTCAGTTTGAAAATGCTGGGCACGCCATTTCCCCGTCGCACCTTTTGACTTACCGTCGCACAATATTATTTTATCGTATTCCAGACTCCAACCGTATATTATGGTGATGTGCGTTGTATTTTATATATTCCGAAAATATTTACATGCATAATATTTCCCGAACGTTTGAGATAAAAGACAAACACTTTCTGCTGTTCTCCACTCAGGATTTAAAGTTTAGCATTTTCAATATAACCGGAGTGATTTATTAATACTTTTTAAATTAAAAAAAAAAAAAAAAAAAAAAAAATCGCAAAAATATAATATCGTTTCGCACTGAGACCAGCAAATCGCCATGCTGAGCTCCATATAATATGTGCATTCTCATATGTATATGTACCTTATATATGATACGGACAATACGGAATACAATTTGAACTTCCAATACAGATACATAATTGTTAGACTTATAATAGTATTCTGATTCAGATAAACTTTCAATAAAATCCTTTGATGGTTCAAAATTAGAAACATCAGAAATTAACTCATTTAAATCTTGATTTTGAAAAAGAATAATCAAAATTTCCATTGAAAAGTGTAGGCATTATGGTAGTTTTTTTATGATTAGCAATAATTAATTCGTTATTTGATGGTAATATTACAACACTGTCATAAAAAACTATTGATAATGCATTTATAACAATATCATCAGTGTTATTATTTTCTTTGTCATTAATCGTAGCATTATTATCATTATTATTACTTGATGAACTTAACGATTCTAATAACCGTTCTCGTAAAATGTTTGATGAATTAGAAGAATTATTTTCGTATTCGTCATCTGTTGTTACATACTCGTCACTACTAATATTATCTTCGTCGGATTCTAATGTTGTAATGTATTCGCTGAATAATTGCTCACTCAATTCATTAGTCATTTTCAATATTTGATTTATGTTAAATCTACAGGTATGCACACTATATAATATGACCAAATACAACTTTTCTGAATCAAAAAATATTATTATGTTACGAATCCGCTATCAAAAAATTATTATGTTTACGATGGAACTGTGAATGTATAGATAATTATATATGCTCCTTATTGTATAGGCAAATTTATATACATCAAGGATTAGGATTGATTAATATTATCATTGTTAATAAATAGTACGGAACACAAATAATAACCGTTTAAGCAGTATGTATTAGCGAATACATAGCAGCATATACTGGTAATTTCATACGACTTTGCTACAGATGTTTAAAGTGAAGTACAATTGAAATAACGCATATATTCGTCAATACTGTTTTAGACATACATTTGTAAAACTTAACTTAGTTTAAAAACCGATACAGCAATACCAGGAGTCCAGCTCTTTTTCGTATCTACATTTTCTTTGATCGTTCCGATCGATTGCACCTACTCCGTGGATCGTCGTACTCGGCAAATACGCTACGCCTGTGTGGCGATCGAAAAAGAAAATCCGACGTCGTGAATCGTTATTATACATCTTATCGCGTAGGCTCCGCTCCGCGGAGGGGGATCTATTTATCTATCTAGGGCCTAACAGAGCAGGGGGGGGGCAATGGGAACATTTTTCCCCAGACCCCATTGTTGGAATATTTTTTCGGGGACCTCCATAAAGTCTTGATGTATAATAATTAATAATAAAGACTCGATTACACTGAACAATTTTACGAGCTGCGTAACAGCGATTAAAGTCGCGCGCTTGTGAGCGTGTAGCGATTACACGGAGCGATTAAATTGTAAATAATATGAACAGTATTCAATTCTATTACGTAAGTATGCAATGCAGAACATGAATTTAAACGAGCCTGATTGGTTAAGGTTTGAAAAAATACGTTTGCAAGAATTTTGTTACTCTCAGTGAGTATTTTGTCTATCGTAGCTTATTGTTATGGTCGAAGAGCCCCGAGTTCATTCGCCCCTGGACCCGAAAAACTTTGGGACGGCCCTGTATCTATCACACGGAAGACGTGTGTGCGCGTGGGTCGTATTTCACGACTCGTAGACGCGATAATCGCGCGCCGTCGTCGTAATTAAAGCGCCGGGCGAGTTATTGACTCAAGTCGCGCGCACTGCAGTAAAATAGTGCGCGATAAATGATTTATCATTCTGCGATAACGTACCGCACTCGGGAGACGGCAATCGCTAGCGCTCATGATTTGTACGCGTGATGATTTACAGCAACGGTCGGCCGCCGTCGTAGGGATAACGTTTGTACCCGGTGAGCCGGATAATAATAATGCGACTTGCCGCACCTGTGCGTGTGCGATTTGCGCACGGCGAAGGTCCTGCGGAAAATCGGTCGCGCCCGAATGTTCGGACGGCAAAAACCTTTTACCCGCCGCCAAACGGGAAACGGGATCGATTTTGTCTTTTGAAAATCGACGTGCCGGAAGCACCGACGAATTTTTTTTTTTTTTTTTTTTGTTTTTCTTTCGCGTCAGGTTTTCGCCACGTTTAACCGTTGAGAATCGCGCACACCATTGTTCGACCATCTTCTCGGCGAAGACAATACGGCAGAGGCTAAAATACATACGTTTTCGTACTGCACACATTAGTATGTTGTCGTACTCCCCTTTCAAACGTTAACCAGTAACACGGTTAAAATAGACGGTATTTCGGATTTCGCCGGTGATGCGTCTCAAAAAATGTGTAAAATGATTTGATAAAAAACTGTAAAATTAAAAACGAATACCATAATGTAGGGAATAGAATCGCAACACTCTTTTCGATTTCGTATTGAACGAAGTGTATCGTACCGCATACAGTTTTAATCCCTGCAATACGGTCCATAATAATATGTTTCGATAAAACGGAAATTGCCCGATCACATTAAACGACGTTCTTTTAGCCTTGCAACGTGATCGGGACCCGACCTTCATGTCCGCCGTATTAGGCGGCTGTCCGCGTATCGACCGCCGATGGTATTGAACGGAATCCGCTTCAAACACTATACTTATTCGTCCCGAGTCGGCGGCCAACACGTTCGTGACTATCCGACATTTTCGTTCCGTTCGCCATATCTTCCTCGACGATCGCATCGGAGCTAAGACCTATGGTGCGCGACATTTACATATCTGTCTGAATAAACGATCGATCATCATTGATATTCGTCTAGATATAGAAATCACTTAGTCCAACTGTCTTCCAACATCAAACGCGCACACACCCGTCCGTATTAATATATCCGGACGAGTATGATTAACCATTGCGATGCAGATTTTCGAATTTATTATAAACATAATCCAGTAAAACATATTTACATCTTATATATAATCCTGGTTGAAGTTTACGGAAAAATCCATGCGTATTAAACTTGAATTACTAATTATTCCAAGATATAATTTTAAAACTTGTTAGTCTCTTAAGAACAATTAACCATACAATCTTATGAATATGAAATTTTTATTTGTTTTTAATCGTAGTTTGATAAAAATAGCCAAGTCATTAAAATACAATTATAGTCTATATAATTTATTCCATGATTATTTCGTCGAACAATAAATTAATTAAAAACCGTTATAATTAAACATTTTATTTTTTATAAAGTACTAAAGCTCGACAAATTGTTTTTCGTGCAATAATTTTTCGGTAAACAATCCCTGATTCAAACCATAATTAGATACATATTATACTTAACCACATATAAAATTATTATAGGTCATTTTACTATATAATTGGTCAGTTTCTGTTGATTATGACAACTATCTTTAGTATTTAGGTATTTATGTAGAAGTTCTGATCAGGAACTGGAACCGTACCTAAAAGAACCGGTTTTGGAACCGAAACCTTACCGAAACTCTAATTTAAATTTATTTTAAAACAGGAACCCCGCCGGGACTTTTATTTGTATTAATTTAAAAATCGGAACCCCACCGGAACCGATGATGTTTTGTAAAGGTTTTTTACGGTTAATTTCGGTTTTTTTATAATTAAATTACTTTTATTTATAATTAGTGTTTATCTATGAGGTAAAATGATCAGATTAAAATCCTATGAAAGTGGAACAGACCTTCCAATGTACTATCTACTGAAACCACCGAACGCAAGTCTCTAACCTTAAAAATATATAGTAGTGTACATTTTAAAAATTTAAATACTGAATTATGATATAACAATTGGTAAACCAATGTTTAAACCATAAAAAAAAAATGAAACGATGTTTAAAAAAAGGTAGCCGTGACGGTGATACATTTTTACTTAATTAGTCCTAAGTCCACTTAAGTTATGGTAGGATATATGGTTGAAAATTGGTATCAACTGCAATAATTGACGCTAATTAACACTAATATTATTTTTAAATGAATCGAAACAGAACCAAATTTTTCTCACATTAGTATAATACCAATCTTGAAACTAATTTTTTCATTTTTTAAGAATCGAAAATAAATCAAAACCTAAATTTTTGTTATTTTAATAACCGAAACCAAAATTTTAATTTTTTTTAAAACCGAAAATAACCGAAACCCATATTTTAGTTATTTTAGAATCGGCATCAAAACCGGAACCAATTTTTTTTTTTCTAGGAACCGAACCAGAACTGAAGTCGTACAACTCATCAGGATTTCGGTGCTTGGTTTTGATATTATCATGAGTTTGAGCAAAATATATTTTAATTACAATACAAATTTCTTGAATTAAGTAACTCCAAAAGAATATACTAATTGTTAAATTATATGACATGTTAACTGAATATTAATATGTGTAAAATAATAGTTTTCACTCTTTCAGGGTATATTCAAAATTTCATAGTCTGAAAATAGAGTATTAATTCTATTATGAACTAAAGTAGCTTTGGAAATCATATCGGCCATTGTATTTAATGATTCTTCTACTGTTTCATCACCAATGCCCTAAATAAAAATAAAGTTTATCAATTATAAATAATACTATATTGTTTGTTTTAAGTTTAAAAACTGTTATATATTAACGAGTAAACTTAATTTTCATCTAAAATAAATTTAAATTTTTATAATTATTACAGATAAGTATAATTTTAAATTAAAATTTTAGCTTGGAACAATATTTGTTACATGCAATAGAAGGATAATGGATATAAATTATTTATTACATTTTTTCATCATAAATAGCTAACTAGTATTAGCAGAGCAAAAAATGAGAAAAACTCTTTTGAAATTACTTATGTAAGCAAAATAATAAGTTCTCAAAATAATATTAATTACATATTCAATGTTTTTTTGGTTTTTAATGTATTTTAATTAGAGTTCAATACATTTACTGAATAATGTATGATATTGATGTTTTATATTAAATTATAATAATAATAATAGCATACTGAAAGTGTTACCATGTTCCTTAATAAATACAAAATATTAAGTACTACTTTACTTTATATTTTTACAATGTACAAAAATACAAAACTAGTTTATGGTAAATGAATTTAATTTATATATTTAAATTAAAATATTATATTTAAAGAATTTAAAGGAATAGTCTTAATATAATAAAATCTCTATGAAATACTCACTTGACAAACCAAGTTTTTTTGACAAGGCAAAAAATTCATAGCAAGCCTAGCTCCGTGGCGTACTAACCAAGTATGATGTTTTGCTAATGTTTGATTATAAGATTTAATAGCAGAATGGGTGGTACTTTCATTAGGTTTGAGGTGAAGAAGTTTAGACATGAACAGAATGATGAAATCTGAAACAGACATGGTTAAATGGTATAGGTAAAAAGGTAAAATGAACATTGTTCGGATGAACTACCTAGTCCTCGGTGCAGCCTCAACAATGTGATACAGCCTGAGTTTCCCTTCACCATATCATTTGATTTTTCATACAGTATCATGTTTTTTACCGTTGAAAAATGCTGTTCATCGTCGGCTATTAGATTGTTAAGCCGATCGATTTTATCTTGTAGGTCGTTGACGACGAAACCGAACAAAGCGCCGAGTTGAGAACAAAACCTGCGTGCGAAACGATGTTTAGAATTACAACGATATTAATAAATGGTCTGGATGGCTTTTGCAGAAGAAACCGGTGGCGGGCAGATTTCTGAAACCGTGGTAGACTTCAAAAATTCGAAAATTTTTTATGTGGTGGGGGCGGGACATGCCGTTCCAAGGGGTGTGGGTGAGTTGCGGCCCGGCGTGTCGTTTCCGGTGTTTGAGACCGGTGAATTCCGGCCCGATAATATTTTAGCCGTAGGTTAGTTGCGGCCCGACAATATTTTAGCTATAAGTGAGTTGCGTCCCGAATAATTATCATCACCTATGTACCTATTGGCTAGTAACTATATGTACGATTCGGTGTTGGCTATACATTAAGTGATAAACGAACAACGATAAACGAATTGTTCGACACGTATGGCAAGTTATATCTTTTATATAATACAATAAAGATAATATAGATCGTTTTATTGTATCATCTGTTGTAATAATATAATATGTATATATAATAATTTACATTAATAATTGCATACTATTATCATTATAAATCATATTCTAGAAACGCAAAACATTATTATATTTATTAGCTTATTTTCTTTTTATTATTATTATTTTAACCAAGACAATAGATAAAAAATGAAATTACTATACGGTATTATTAGTTCACGAACATTTTTTTATTTTATTTTTATTTAAATTCTTGAAATGACAAATATTAATAATATACGACATTATTAGAAAATACGTAGTGTTAACAAATTTATATTGTGATGTTTATACACATGTACTATGTATAGTATATATTATAGTACATATAGATTGTTGTATGGGCCGCAACTCGTGCGCACCTCTCACAAGCCCGGGCCGCAACTCACCAACACCGGGTTCCAAGTTGGTTAATGAATCGAAACGCACGTCGTAGGGCAATCGCAATCGAATGGACGCCTCCGCACAGCGGTCGACGGCGAAGAGTCACCGGGTCACGTAATGCGAGAATTACAACAGTACGTCGGTTTCTCCTACACAACTTGGGCATGAATTACTTGCAAAGCTCCTGGTAGGCAATCACGTAGTTCTTGACGTCCACGTCTTCGTCCTGGATGAGTGCGCCGTGGAACGCCGAGCGCATGGCCGGCACGCTGAACATGGCGACGCGTTATCGAACCGTACGGGACTGGACGAGCTCGGAAAAAGATGACGGTGCGCCACGGAAGCAAACGTGTGGCCGGCGAACGGGACACGGTAGGTACGTCGAGCGCGGCGTGATAACGAATTATTATACCGACGAAACGGGAAGCGCGCGTTCGCGCGACTGATGGTGCGATACGGACGGACGGTACAACGCAGTGTTGTCAGATTGGGCGGTTTTTCGGCAAATGGGCTACCTCGAAGGTCCTTATCGTCCAAAATTATAAACTCACGTGTGCACACGTCAATTGGTCTATTGTTTAAATTTAAATGGGTGGTTTTGGGTGCTTTTTTTTTTTTAACCTAATATCGTCGACAGGAGACTATTTTAAAATAGGCTCCCGAAGTCACTACCACAAAACAACTATATTGTATATATTCTGTGCCAGGCACGTAAATGGATACTAATTGAGGGGGGGGGTGCCATAGCCAGGGAGGTTTAGAATTTAACCCTCCCATTTTCCTAAAAAAGGATATCAAGATTAATGATGAAATAAAAAAAAAATAATAATGATAAAACGAACGAACCGGGCATTACGACGTTCGGGTATTGAACATGAAAACGGTTTTTGTCGTAGCTTGGGAATTGGTTACTGTATTTTGAGTTGAGTGACCTTGTTTTTGTATAATATATCTAGTTTACTTCTTCGACGTATTATCAAGACCTAACAGTAAGTAATTCAGATAGCAACCACAGCAACAACGCTCAAGATTATGCATTAGAAGAAGTGCTTAATTTACAAGTGTTTAATGATCAATAATATTATACTGATTACTGAAGAGCGGATTTTTAGGTTCTTAAAAGCTTAAAATATGATACTAATATGCTTTAAAAAAACCCTAAAATAATCTCTAAATATTCCTTGAACTTGTAAATGTACAGATAATATACTCTAAAAAAACCCTAAAATATTCTCTAAATATTTCTTAAACTTGTAAATATGCGATAATACGACTTATTTTTCTTAAATAGTTGAATAAAAACATTAAATTATTGATATGGGCAATTTCTTTGGTAACAAGTAAATTATTTAAGCATAAAAATTTAAAACAGTTCATACATAAGAGAATAATAATCATCCAGTTATATATAAAAAACAATAAACAACTTGTATACACCATTCCTTGGTAAAAGAAAAATTATTTAAATGAAAAAAATGGATAACAATTCCATACATAGGAATATAAGTATAACAATTAAATTTATTTTTCCTAGAAAAATCACAACTTGAGAAATTAATAAAATATGCTTTTTTATGAACAATAATTGAATAAATTCAAAAATATTAAAAACAGGCTAAATATTCTCTAATGTCCAAAATATCGTAGTTGCCAAAACAATACCAAGTAACTCCAAGAAAATCAACTGAATAGTAAAGACAATACCTCGTATGTCCTAATTATAATCACTAATTATTTTAATTGTTGGTTTTATGAAAAATTATTGTTAGTAGTATTTAATATTAATATATTATTATTAGTAATATTATATTAGAAATTAATTTATAAATAATTAGTTTTTTTGTATCTCCTGAAAATTTACATTTTGGAGACACGTGCTATTGTTTTAGCAATTGGTATTATTTTGCATATTTTAGCATATGCTAAAATATGCAAAATAAATGTTTTCCTACGAACTTTATGATGGATAAATCGTCCACATTTTTCATCCTCTTAAATCTGCGTAAAACCAATAAAAATATGTAAAAACCTAAAGATCCGCTCTCTACTAATTATAGTGTGTGCATTAATAATGTATAGTGCATAATATTATTGTAATATAACAACTTAAATAATATAATACAACAACTTCAATTTTTGTATAAATTAAACATTGATATCGGCTATATTGAGCTACCTGACTTATCTGAGATAATGGCTATTTTGAGTGACCTGAACGCTCTCTACTGGCTATACGACTCAAACATTATCTGGCAACCCTGTGTTGAGGCGGAAATTCTGTTTATTTTCTTGCTTATAAAATATTATTATACTTATATCCATAGCCAGTTTTAGGAATAGGTAATACAAAATTTATCTAGATAAAGATAAAAGATAATTTCATTTTTATCTCGATAAAAAAATGATATTTTCAAAAATTGTTATTTTTTGGTTAATATTTCATATTCTAATAATATCGATGAAGACTCAATTATAATCAGAGGCGTATTAAAAAATGTCTTATGGGGGGGGGGGGGGGGGGGGTCACAAACAAAAAGTTCAAAGTATACATAGTTATAACTTTTCCATCTCAACAAATTGTCGTTATTCATAACCAAATAATCAAAATACAAGTGTTTGATAGAAACATAAACTTTTATTACACAAATTTATAATAAAACATATTTTTAAATATAATTTTTATAATTACAATAACTGAAGACGTCTGGGGTGTTTATTAGCATATGCATCAACTACTTCTTCAGGTTTTATAATTATTTCAGGGTGTATACAATGCTAATCTGTTTAATCGATGGTATCATATTATCATGATATATTTATATTCCAGTATTTCACCGTGTACCCGTGCGTGAAAAATAAGAGAGCCTACAATAATAAATAAAGTATAAAATACGGTGAATAGGGAGGGGCATAGGCCCACCCCTTAAATACGTCCCTGATTATAATCATTATTATCAATAGGTACCTAGGTGTTTAATGTTTATTGTAGTAATGTAGTGTACCATTAAGCAGTATTTATAAATATTGTACAATATTTAATGACAGTTAATCACTAAAATGTTAACATAAAAAAAAAAATGAAAATTGCTTTGTACGTATCAGGATGAATACAGAATACATAAAAAAATATTTTAAGTTAACAATATTGTTTTCCATATAATATTAATTTGATAATTTTCATTATTTTATAAGTAGTTACGACTTTACGGGTTCCAAGAGTGAAGTAATAACTATTCAGTGTATGAGTTACGTGTGTATACTAAAATCAAATACCTACTATATTTGGAAATCCCATGGAAAAATAAGAAATTAAGTTTAAAAATACCAAAAATATTTTCCCGACATGAAAATACAAATAAAATGACATATCAAGAAATAATAATTATTTATTAATAATACATAATAATTATGATTATGAATACAAAATCTATATGTATAAAAGAAAGTCAGGTTATTTACAGAATTTATAATTTAAGGACGGCTGTACCGATTTCGACGATCTCTAATTTGTTGGATTCATCTCCGTACAAGATTAAAAATAATTCTAATCTTGGCAAGAATACAGACAATTATCTAGATAAGTAAAAATTTTATCTTGGATAAGTAATTAGATAACTTAGCATTATTTATCTAGATATGATAAAAGATGACAAAAAATCTATCTAGATAATTTATCTAGATAAGCCCGAATACTGTTTATAGACAGGTAATTCGTTATACGCGAAATAAAAATATAAAATAATGTGAACAATTAAAATTAAGAAACATTCATATATTCACCAAATATTTTAGTAACTGTTGAATTGTACGGTTTGCGGGTGTCTATAACCATTAAGGAACATGAAAAAGATAGAAAGGCTTCAGCATCCTCAGTTTTTTCATTGAAATTGAGCCCCTGCCGTTACCGCTACCGCCGCTGTGTGTGCGGGCTAGGAATATCCGATACTGCCACCGCCGCCACCGTTACCGCTGCTGCCACCGTGGCAATGTGCGCGAACCTTAACGTGATGTATTTTATATTTTTATCATTTGTTCAGTTCTGTTATCTTTTATTAAACAATTCAATAAAACGATAATAATAATATAATAATAGAATTTTGATTTTTGAGTTCAATTTATTTTAGCAGGTGCAAACGCACATCTTTGCACCGGCTTTTTATTTACAGGGGGTGCAAGTGCATCGTCGTGCGACCCCATATTTACGCCACTGTCTTAATTTATATTTACAAATAACTAATATCAATATTGTATACGTGATTCAAGATTATGTTTCACAGTATTGAATTAATTAAAAATTGTCAAAAATATTAAACACTGGCGTTTAGATAAAACCTACATAGTAACTCGTCCACGTGAACAAACCAATTTATTTTAATTCATATCGATTATAGGTTTGACAAATAACTTGATATTTTAATTATGATACAAGTAAATTAAAAGAATTATATATTTTCTTACCAATTAAAAAACTAATTTCATTGTTAAGATAACGCTTGGTTCGCATTAAGTTTAACCGTTTAATTAATCGCACTCCACACAGATGCGCATTCTCATATGTATATGTATATTTGTTACGGACAATACGGAATAAAATTTAAACTTCCAATACAGATAAATAATTTGTAGTCTTATAATAATATATTGATTCGGATAAACTTTCGATAAAATCATTTGATAGACCAGAATTAGAAACATCAAAAATTAACTAGTTTGGTCAAAATAAACTCGATTTTGAAGGAGAATAATCAAAATTCCCAATGAAAAATGTACGCATAATGGTAGTTATACATCTTATTATTATAATACATCTTCTATCCGGATTGAAATTTACGGTAAAATCCATTCGTATTAAACTTGAATTAATAATTATTCTAAGATGTAGTTTTAAAACTTGTTACTCAGTCGCGACCTACCTCTCGTCGTTAACGGTCGTCTTATCGCCAGTTACCGCATTAAAGTCGCGTTCTTTTTT